GGGGCCTTCGGTGGAGCTCCCTGTGGGGCCACGATCCTCGTGAGGGGTGTGCCGAAATGGCCCGAGGCCGCCATGCGAACGCTGCCGCTGGGGCCTTCGGTGGAGCTCCCTATGGGCCACGATCCTCGTGAGGGGTGTGCCGAAATGGCCCGAGGCCGCCGTGCGAACGCTGCCACTGGGGCCTTCGGTGGAGCTCCCTGTGGGGCCACGATCCTCGTGAGGGGTGTGCCGAAATGGCCGGAGGCCGCCATGCGAACGCTGCCGCTGGGGCCTTCGGTGGAGCTCCCTATGGGGCCACGATCCTCGTAAATGGGTGTGCCGAAATGGCCCGAGGCCGCCGTGCGAACGCTGCCATTGGGGCCTTCGGTGGAGCTCCCTATGGGGCCACGATCCTCATGAGGGGTGTGCCGAAATGGCCCGAGGCCGCCATGCGAACGCTGCAACTGGGGCCTTCGGTTGAGTTCCCTGTGGGGCCACTATCCTCGTGAGGGGTGTGCCGATATGGCCCGAGCCCGCCATGCGAACGCTGCCACTGGGGCCTTCGGTGGAGCTCCCTATGGGGCTACGAAGCGCTGTTTTGGGTGGGTGAAGCGCAGGGAAGAGGGGGAGGAGGGAGGAATGGGAGGAGGAGGGGGAGGAGGAGAGAAGATGAGGAGGAGGAGGAGGAATGCTATGGGAACGCTATGAGAACGGACCTCTGTCTTACAAACTTTAAACCATTAACCCCCAAGGGGTTAATCTGAACTTCCTGAATCCTCTCCTCCCACTGCCCCGGCAAAATTGGGCGGCTCTCGTCGAAGAGCCTCCGCTCCTCTTCGAACTCCGCGACTGGCCTGCGCGGCGGGCCTTGCCTCCGCGGGGATGGGCGGTGGGGGGGGGTCGGAGGAGGAGCCCCCAGGCGCAGCACCCTCGGTACACGACCGACCGACGAGAGACGACACCCTCTCTCCATCGCGCGCCGCCATTGCTTCCACAACGGCTTGTGGGGGCCCCTCTCTCCTCGGGTAAGCACCCTTCCGAATTCTAGCCAAATTCTCTGGCCCCTTAGGGGTCAAACCTTCGCAACGCTTCCTGATGTGTCTATCATCAACTGTCGCGAAGCGACCACACTTACTGCAGGCATGCATAAACCACTTGTCCACGTAAAACATAGCGTGGGTCTCATGAAACTCCAGAGCCCCCGACACGAACCTATGGGGGGCCTGCTGGACCTCGGGCGGCCGACTTCCATCAGGGAGGGCCCTGCCTGCGCAAGGGGTGGCCGCAAGCTTGAGCAGCCTGGAGCCTGGCGCCACCTGATCACACACGGTGCATCTCCAGCCCGCGCCAGCCTTCACAATGCTGTGGGCCGACTCGGACCGCTCGAGCTTTCAGGTTGGCGGGCAATCGCTTGGCAGCAGCCTTGCGTTCGCCTTTCGCCTGCACTTCTACATTCGCTGACTCGGCCAGCGCTCTTCTCGCGCGGCGTCGCACGAGACTGGCGATGGCATCTATTCGGTCCGTCTGCGGATTTTCCCCCACCAGCCCGAACTCCCACGCCAGCTCCGCCCCCTCCCTCGCCCAAATATCCGCCGCTGCGTTGCCTGCCGCAGTCTCTAGCTGTTGGTCTGTCACCAGCAGCTCAGGGGATTCATCTGCATGAGAGGATGTCCACTGTACTTCGACGATGGCGGTGTCTGGCCTGAGGCGCCAGGCCTCTCTGGCCCTGGTCCAGAGGTCTTCATTAGCCCCTGTCGGGCTGGGGTTCTCAATTTTTTGGCGCCACTTCCGAGCTACCGATAAATGATCAGTGATAAACAGGAACGATCCCGACATCTCCTCTAAGGCCATACAAAAAGCCTGGATCTCGGGGCGCGGGACGGTCTGGCGGGCTCCGAGCAGGGGGCGAGACAACGCTGCTTGCACATCCAACACACCCTGGGACCATTTCAGGGAACAAATAGCAGACCCGCAGCGTCGTCGCCTGGGGTCATCACAAAACCGCCCCCCCGAGCCGTCGCCGTAGATCTTTAAAATCCCGTCGCTTCCTCGAGAGGCCTCAAAGTCATCATTCCCACCCAACCTGAGCTCCCGCCCCTCCAGACGCACTTCCTCGAAGAGGGGGTGAGTGAGGCGAGTCGGGGGAAGGCCACGCAGCCATACGGCTGGCTCAGCTTCTGCTTGCACTAGTGCTGCAGCTACTAAAGTGTCGCTCTTACTAGAATCCTCGTGCTCCTTGTTACTAGAACATTCCCAAATCCTGTGCCTCAAGGTTTCGGGGGCGGCTTTACATCTCGGGCACTCGACTGGGACCTGATATCCTTTTTCTCTGCTACGGACTCGCGGCCACTGACCGCCAGCGACCACCGTCACGTTGAGCGCCAGCTGGTCGAGCATACCCTTGCGCTCGAACCGCCGCTGCTCCATGACGATGGGCCACATATCGCCGCCCTCCTGCAGGTTGGCGCCGCACTCGTGCTTGGCGGCCTCCGTCCACAGATCTCTCCTCAGGTCGCCCTCCAAGTCGTCTAGCAGTTCCTGGAAGCAACCCGTGTCGACAAAGGTGTCGTCCTCGGAGGTCGGCAGCTCCCACATCTCCATCTCATCCACTCCAGGGCGATGCCACCGTGTCGCTGTCGTGGGTGTCCATCCTGCATCCATCAGTGTAGCAATGAGAGCACCTGTAGGTCCACGTACAGCTCGCCATCGCTTCGCCCCCAACCCAAGTAACCTTGATTTAATGGCATGCCACGCCTTAGCGACTCGACGATGAATGTGTGGGAACCTCTGCCACATACCAGTCCATTCACGTACCACGCCTAAACGAATATCCACGGCACGGTCGCGAAGTTCCAATTCCATGCCCAGCGTGGTCGTGAGACAGCGTCCTCCTGCACTACCTCCTGCCACTTTGTCAGCTTGGCGACGAAGTTGTGTGATCTCCTGCTTGGACATTCCAAAGGTTTGCTGCCCGTAGATCGCTTGTGGCAGCGCCCCCGCATTGTAGAGGCCTTTGGACTCCTTCTTCAGCGCAGCGATTCTCCTAAGCTTGACAATCCTGGCGAACCTCTTACGCGCCTTGTCTTGTCTGTGCTTACTCTTCGTCGTAACCCTTTTCCTTCCGCCAGCAGTGTCCAGCCCCAGGTCCGTTGCCACCCCCGTAGCTTTAGCTGGTATACCTCGACGTAGTAATCGCTGCGCTGCCTTCTTCGCTTGTTCCAGGTCGGAGCCGATCACTGTCGTCTTCTCTGATATTGTAATTCTCTGTCTAACCAGTCCCATGCAGCTATCCGTAGAGACCTCCACCAGCTGCTCGCTTACAGTGTTGACGCTTCCCTCGCATCTGACCACCGTATCGTCAACGAAAGTCCATAATCCTGCTGATGGGTTCCTCCGATGAGCCAATTCTAGCACTGGGTGAAGAAACAATGTTGCCAATGTCACCCCTCGAGCTGAGCCAGCCACCAGCGATCTGGTAGGCCATATGGCCTCGCTTATGGCGGACCGCTCCTGCAAATACCGTGGCCCTAGGAACATTACCACTTCCAGCCCCACAGCGACTGCTGGGAATCCTGCCGTGCAAGCTATCTGCATCAAGATCACCAAGGAGACCGTGTCATAGAATTTCTCGATATCTAACAAAAGCGTAAAAGCCGATGCCCCTATCTCTATCCCCGTCTCGTCCAATATGGTTCGCAGCAGCCCTGCTCTGAGTGCCGAACTGCCCTTGATCGCTGTATCCCCGCACTCCACATTGAGCACACACCGCCACGAGCTCTGGACCACAACTTGACTGGGAGGGGTAGCATGCCCAGCACACGATCTCCCGCTGCAGGCCCTGGTTTCGCCACCATTGCACACTTGGTCGCCGATAACTGCCTTGGCCACGCCATCGTGCTTTCACTCCGTTGCAGTATGTGTAACAGCTCTTCCTTCGCCGTCGTGGGGAGTCTGTCAATGTCCGTGGGGCCCAGTTGATCCAATCCTTTTGCCTTTGAAGCAACAGTAACACGCAGAGCACCGTTCAGCATCTCCATGTCGATGGGGTCAAGGTCCTCCTGTCTCGCTCTGCGCCGCGTGTGCTCCAGCTGTTCAATAATGTCCGTGCGCGTATCCACAGGAGGAGGAGGAGGAGGAGGAGGAGGAGGAGGAGAACGCGGGGACCGCCTCTTCAAAACGAGGACCCAACACCACAGGACGGTTGGGAAAAACTGAATTCAGCGGCCGACTCGACGCCGAATTCCCCGGCCTCGCCGCTATCAGCCTCGCGTGATTTGCTCTGCTCTTTCGCTAGTCTGCCACCCATCGGGAGACTTGCGCCCTCAGATGCGGTCACTCCTCCTCCTCCTCCTCTTCCTCCTCCTCCAGGGCCCGCCAGCTCCTTCACAAGAGCCGTTCCCCATCCATCCTTGTGCGGGCCCTGCCCATTTCTTTGACCAGGACTTGCTCCAGGCCTGCCCCGCGGACGAGATCGTGGACAGCCTGAAGCTCACAGATATCAAGGACCGCACGTGGACCATCCAGGCTTGCAGCGCCATGGACGGCAACGGGCTGCAGGAGGGTATGGAGTGGCTCATCGGCCAGTGCCAGGAGCCGAGTGTGCACTGGGCTCTGCCAGGGCACGCTGCCTTCTTAACTCCTCTGCGACCCCTACATCGGTGGAGTTTGACGTGTCTAGAGCCACGGTGTCCATGGGGGGCTGGGCACACGCTGTGCTGCTCCTTGTGTGCGACTGGGAGCGGTATCCGGTTCGCCAGTAGAGGCAGAGGAGGAGGAGGAGGAGGAGGAGGAGGAGGAGGAGGAGGAGGTCACTCCAAACTCGTCTGAAGTGCCCCGCCCCCTCGTGATGCTTGCAGGCGGATTCGAAGGGAGAGTCCGGAGCCGAGGAAAGAGGAGGGTGAGTCGGCACCCTCGCGGGACGTCGTGTCGAGGAGCGGTGCGAGCACGGGTGGGGGACTCCGGAAGGGAAGATGGGATCCAGAGGGAAAGTCGGGGGGCGGGAGTCCAGACAGGGACCCTAACGGGGGAGGGGTCAAGGGGCGAGAGCAAGTTTGGAGCGCCTTTCCTGGTACAACAAGCATCTGCACGTCTGGAGTGCTCAATCTTCGCGGGTGGCGCGCGGGCGATACAAAACGTGCGCAATTTGCCAGCATTGGCTCGCAGGACAGCTCATCTTCGTGGTTGGACGCTACATTTGCACGGCGTTTGAGGTAGCTTACTGGCTGCACGTCTTGCGTCGCCGAGTGTGTGATCGTGCTGGGAAAAATATGTCAGCGACCGCCTACTAGACTGGGCGGTCTTCACGACTACATTTGTTTTGGTCGCCCCAAGTTTTGGTCGGTAAGCGTTGCCAGCTACCGCTGTGTCAGAGGGGGCATTGGCTATATTGTGTAACGTTGATTGTTCTGTTGCAGTCCAGAGATCAGGTGCGTAAGCAGAACCGTCACATCATGATTCGGCCCCGCTTCAGGGGTAGCTGCAGCCGTCTGCACACGGGGCCATCTTGTTGTTTCGGTGGAAACGTCTTGTTCATGATAATTTCGCATGTTTGTCAAAGGGTTCTGTCAGTGCGCGTAATGTATGTATCCGATCGTCTCTTTTTTGTGTGCTCCTGTGACACAGCCAGGGGCATGATGCTGTTTGGCCATAAGTCTGTCGCTCCATCACAGAACGCCTGCCGATTCAGTTGGCACCTTCTTGTCAGAGTTTATGCCTCGACGAGCTTCGTACGTTACGCGCTTCTCTGCGTTGATGTCTCGGCGATCTCCAGCGGTGCCATGCCATATCTCGGATATCGCACTTGTTGCTGGAAGCCGCGGTACGTAATCCCAACCGATTTCCAGAATCAGCGTGATTGGTATGATTGGTCGTTGGTGTTGCATGAAAGTTGGCACCGCCGCAGACCGCAGCGCCATGAAGAAGTACTGCGGCTGAGCGGAGCATCCTTCATTAAGCCTCCTGCGCGCCCCCTCCTGTACTTCCTAGTTCACTTGAACGTAGCATTTGATTTGTCGGACTATCCCGCACTTGCTCGTCAGGCGATCGACGCCTGACTAGCACATGGTGCTCCCACGAAGTCTAGATGCTCCGAGCGAGAATCAGAGCCCCAGAACTGCTCCGAGCGAGAATCAGAGCCCCAGAAGCTAGTGTGCAGAAAGCCCCGACAAGCTGGTTGACGTGTCGCTCGGCACCTCCTCTTGGGAACCGCAGGGGTGGGTGGTACTTTCAGATCACGTGCTGGCCGTACCCTCTGGAGATTGTTGTTCGCATCCTCTGGCGCTTAACGGTCGCTACTTGGGCCAAGCCCCCCGGGGTAACAACAAAGATCGTACGGGGGGGGGGGGGGGCGGACCCTTTTCCCCAGAATGCTGGTGCTCGCGCGCGTCCTAGGGCGATCGCAGCGCACCCCCGCCCCGACGCGCCCCACCACGCCCAAGCGTTATTGTTACGCGGGGCCCCAGGACCCCCCCCCCACCCAGTAACGACCATCACCAGAATTAATACATGTTCAGCAAGCGCAGATTCTCAACATATCGTAACACTGGAATCAAGTGTCTTGGAGTGGACTGACGTAGACTGGATTGGAGTAGACTGGACCATCTACCCTTCTTTAAGATGTTCAGCTTTATCCTACTCTACTCGACCATACCCTACCCTAACGAGCTCATCTCTGATCTGCTCTACTCAACTCGACCCTATTCGACCCTACTCTGCCCTAACCAAATGCACTCCTCTTTTCCGTATTATACTCTAAGCATGTTCATATGTTGTCTATTCCATTAGATTCCTACTTTTTCTATTGTGGCCGACAAGACTCGCCAACGCTTATCTATTATAATCTACCCTACTCGACTCTACTATACCCGGTTAGCCGATCCCATTTATCTGATTGTGTTCTCTTCTACCCTACTCTATAATATGTTACCCGATTATACTCTATCCTACTCGACTCAATTAGCAGGGGAGGCCATTGCTGATAGAGGGGGGGGTGCACGGGACAAGTTTTCGATGGTTTGAGCCAGGACTTCTATAGACAGCTTCATGTGGAGAATTACCATGGTGGCGTACCCAACCCCTGCGCACTGCGGGGCAGGAGAAGCTTGGGAGATTTGACGAGAAGGCGGCGACGTGACATGGACGCACATACTTCTGCGAGCGGCATTCTGAAGGTTCGCAGGCCCCCAAGCAAGGGAAACACTATGAGTAACTAGGTGAACCCCTGAGTCACCAAGGAAGACGCAATGTCCGAAAGGAGACGGTGGGCAAGGCGCTTGAAACGTCGGCGGGGCAGCAACAACATGACATGCCCCCCCCAAGGACGGCGAGGCCCCGCTCTGGTCTGCACAGTGCCTCACTCCGCTGGACCCACCAGCAGCCTACAAAAGTGGCGAGCCGACCAGCAGCCCTCGAAAGTGGCGACAGTTCCGCAGATCGCAGCCCCCCAGGGACGGAGAGGTCCCACTCAGGTCCGCGCGGTGCCCCACTCCGATGCACCCACCAGCAGCCCTCGAAAGTGGCGACAGCCCCGCAGATCGCAGCCCCCCCAGGGACGGAGAGGTCCCGCTCAGGTCCGCGCGGTGCCTCACTCCGCTGGACATTCAGCAGCCTTCGAAAGGGGCGACGATTCCGCAGATCGCAGCCCCCCAGGGACGGGGAGGTCCCGCTCAGGTCCGCGCGGTGCCCCACTCCGCTGGACCTACCAGCAGCCCTCCAAAGTTGCGACAGTTCCGCAGATCGCAGCCCCCCAGGGACGGGGAGGTCCCGCTCAGGTCCGCGCGGTGCCTCACTCCGCTGGACCCACCAGCAGTTGCCGAAAGTGGCGACATATGCACATATCGCAGCCTTCCTCACTCCGCTGGACCCACCAGCAGCCCTCGAAGGTGGCGACAGTTTCGCAGATCGCAGCCCCCCAGGGACGGGGAGGTCCCGCTCAGGTCCGCGCGGTGCCTCACTCCGCTGGACATTCGGCAGCCTTCGAAAGTGGCGGCAGTTCCGCGGATCGCAGCCCCCAGGGACGGGGAGGTCCCGCTCAGGTCAGCGCGGTGCCTCACTCCGCTGGACATTCAGCAGCCTTCGAAAGTTGCGACAGTTCCGCAGATCGCAGCCCCCCGGGGACGGAGATGTCCCGCTCAGGTCCGCGCGGTGCCCCACTCCGCTGGACCTACCAGCAGCCCTCGAAAGTGGCGACAGTTCCGCAGATCGCAGCCCCCCAGGGACGGGGAGGTCTTGCTCAGGTCCGCGCGGTGCCCCTCTCCGCTGGACCCACCAGCTGCCTACGAGAGTGCCCCTCAGGAACGGGGAGGTCCCGCTCAGGTCCGCGCGGTGCCTCTCTCCGCTGCACCCACCAGCAGCCCTCGAAAGTGGCGACAGCTCCGCAGATCGCAGCCCCCCAGGGACGGGGAGGCCCCTCTCAGGTCCGCGCGGTGCTTCACTCCGCTGGACCCACCAGCAGCCGTCGAAAGTGGCGACAGTTTCGCGGATCGCAGCCATCCAGGCACGGGGAGGTCCCGCTCAGGTCCGCGCGGTGTTTCGCTCCGCTGGACCCACCAGCAGCCCTCGAAAGTGGCGACAGTTTCGCAGATCGCAGCCCCCCAGGCAAGGCAAGAGGAGACAATAAGGAGGGGGGACGGAAGGTGGGAGGAGGCGGGGGGAGGCGGGAGGAGGAGGAGGAGGAGGAGGAGGAGGAGGAGGAGGAGGAGGAGGAGGAGGAGGGAGACTCGACTGCGGTGCTTTATTCAAAACGAATACCTAACCAAGGAGGGTTGGAAAAAAACAATCTCTCAGCTCCTTAGCCATTCTGACCCCTGCCCCCTGCCTCCTAAGATTGCGCCCTCGGTGGCCAGAACTTTTGACACCGCGGATTGCCGCGTGGCTTTCTTAGATGCATGACATGGCAGCCGTCTATCTGTCTCTCTACATGTGCGCTACACTTCGCGCTATGATGGGTGGCGAGACTTCCCTGGGAGCGGTGGGGGACGGGACTTACAGAGGAAGGGTTCAGCAGACTGACGAATGCGCGTGCTTGGGGATGGAGAGCGCTTCGTGGGGGCGGGCGGTAAATGGGGACATTCGAAGGAGGCCAGCAGACGGACAGAACATACCTGGACATCGGCGCTGCCGAGCGACATCGTCTGAGCATCAGTCAGTAAAAAGTGAATGTATTATCCGGCCAAGCTCGAAGAGGACGTGCTTTATTTGCACGACTACAGGCATGCAATCCCCTCAGTCTGGATAAGGTGCTTCCCTCCCCTTTGCCAACTGTATCTGGATTGACGTAGAGATCAGCGTCAAAGAGCCTCGGCCCCTGCCGGTCGGTTCGATACGCGTTCCCGCGCTTGCTGGCACGCGCGGCAGCGTGCATCGAGTTGGTCTCCGGTGCACGGTTGGTGTCGGCCAAGCCTCACTCCTATCTTTTGCGGCCCGGGCCGCCTTCGTGGCAGCGTGTGCTCCTCTGCGGAAGGCGCGGCCTCACGCCGCGGCTGCGGATGCCTGCGTGGGCCGTGCCCGGCTCGTCCCTCGGCGCCGCGCTGCCGGCGCGAAGTCGCCCTCGAAGGAGGAGGCGACCCCCGTCGTCGTCGCCGTCCTCTCGCCGGCAACGACCTTCCGGCGGTCGCGTGGTCCGCCTTGCCGCCGGCGTCAGGCCGCAGGGCCTCGGCCCAGCAGCCGCGGCGCAGCCTGGGCTGCCGCTGGCTGGCCGTGCCCGCGCGCGCACGCCTGGGCGCCTGGGCCCACGAGGCGGCGCCCTCGAGCGTGGGTCCGCGCCCCTGGGCCGCCCACTGCGCGCGACGCCGACGCCGACGCCGACGCCGACGCCGACGCCGACGACGCCGACGCCGACGCCGACGCCGACGCCGCCGACGACGCCGACGACGCCGTCGACGACACCCTAAGACGCCTGCGGGCATGTCTTGGCGCCCGGCTGGGCCCTCGGCTGCCTCGCCGTGCCGCGGCGCGGCGCTCACCGCCACCGCGCCTGCGGCCTGCGTCGCCTCCGTGGGCTGGCCGCCGCAAGGGGCACGCCTTTGGCCGCCCTGCGCCGTCGCCTTGCTCTGCGCCGCAGCGCGTCCAGGTCAGGCCGGAGCTGCACGGGCACCGCCGCCCCCCAGCACGGTTTCTGCGGCGGCACGGGGAGCTCCTCGTACAGTGGAGAGCCATGCCAAGAAACACCCTGCTTGCCTCCAGGGTGCCCTGGGCTTCTTGGGTTTCGACGGTTTTGATATGGAAATCATGACGTTCCCACACCGAAAATGGATGGACGTCTTGGGGTCTTAGGTTTGGGTTTATTGTGGAAGGTTTCCTGTGGAGTTGCCTCCACTGTAGGTGCCGGACGGCAGCCCAGCGAGTGGCCAAGTCCCACGACTTCACGTTGGATGGCGGAGGCCTCTGGAACTTGCCGCCTTACGTGAGGATCGTCATCTCATTGAATGAGATGACGATCCTCAAGTGGGGCTCCTTGAGAGAGTTGAAGGCTTTTAGAGAAGAAACCAGCAGGCTGGGCTAGGCCGTCTGTACTGCAACGGCTGCCGGGTAAGCATCGTCGCAGCGGTTTGCTGGAAGTTGCAGCGTGTCCGCCAGTGGTGTCCTGTTCGTTCCCAATGCGTGCGCCGCAAGCGTTTGCGAAGCTCTTCGCTTGAGAATCGCCAACTTCTTGCCACAAGGTGGCGGTGTATTTTTCCAAATCCTTGCGATGCCAGCGCGATCTGGGCGAACAGGTGCGATGCCAACCCTTCCAGCGCAAGACGATCGCATGTGCGCGTGGCGGCCTCTCAGCCTTGTCGTCACCGAGCGCGATCCACTGTTCGCAGAGTGCCTGCTCGCAAACCCACGAGAAACGCATGTCTGCCTCGATACAATGGATCGTAGACCCCTGGGGCGGATACAGGCCATTTGCGAGTAGTTAACTACTCTGCGAGTATTGGAACGCGCCTGTCTATGCTGGGCCTGCAATCATAGCCCTTGGGGCTGAGCGGGCAGCCCCTGCAACAGCGCGGTGCTCGGCGGTCAAAGCGCGTCACCAGCTCCAGCCGAAGGCTTCAGGGTGGAGCGGTCGGCATGGTGACGACGACGACGGCGACGACGACGACGACGACGACGACGACGACGACGACGTGGGCGAAGGTTTGTCCTCTGCAGGCCTGTTCTGGTAGAGGTACGGCTGCGTGGCCTTGGCGAGCCGAGGCGTTCCAGGGAGGGCCTCGCCCTCGAGGATCGGAGGAGCTGCCGGCTCTTCCTCGGCAGACGGCGGCGGCAGGTCGGCGGAAGCCGGCGGAAGCAAAACGAGGCCGCTTCCGCCGGCGGAAGCCGGCGGAAGCAAAAGTTGCGCCCCGAGAGATGGCAGGAATTTCTGGTTGACGGTGGCCGAAACTGGCCAGTTGAACCTGCGGCCCGCCCGGGAACGGGACGGGAGCGGCGGAATAAAACAGACCGATTGCCCCGACATTGGCGCGTAAGCTTCCCGCGTAAGGACGCGCGTAAACGCTTTCGTTTCCAATGTAGCGTGCCGCGCTGACGGCCCGCGCAAGCCGCGGCGTAGGGTCGCTAACCCCGTGCCCTAGATGATCATACATCCGCCACTCCTTCCCCCCCCGGTGTTGAGTATCTCTGGCCAAGACATTTTTGGTCGGCGGGGATGGGCGGGGGCGTCGAACTGTATCACCCATCGGGACAAGTACCAATCGTAGCTGTAATCTTCTTGTCATGAGTTGCAGCATTATCATTAGCATTAGTTCAATGGTTATTTCTATTATTCCTATGGCTGTAATGATTATTCCTACTGTTCGCACCCCATTAGTATTACAACGCTCGTCTGATACACTTCTCACAGTTACAAGGATGGACCACATGCCGTTTTCAAAATGCCGGGAGCAATGTCTGTTATCCTCCCTGGGCCCCGAATTGCCTTATCTTCGGGGTGTGATTATCCGGGACAGACTGTTGCGTCATCTCGCGTTAGACTTGCTTCATTCCGTCGCTCCAAAGTCATCATCTGAACCCTTGCTGCTTGCACCCGGACAACATCCGGACATCACATCTTCATGCGTTGGGGGAGTTTGGCGCTCACGGTCGGTTCATACGCGAGCAACAGCACGACGCGCTGTCGACATGGTTGGCTCGTCCGAAGCAGTCTTGAACGCAAAGGGCCGTTTCGCGCGAATTCAGCGTTGTCTCGCGCTGCCCCCGGCCCCCAGATGAGGGAATGGATGGAGAGAGAAGGGAGGAGGATGAAGAGGAGGAGGGAATGATGGCGGATGCCCAGGCCAGAATGATTTCTTCTTTCGGAGGGATTTTGGACGGCCATGGGGTCATGTTCATTTGCTGACTGCTGTTCGGCTTCGCTCAGCTCTGTCGAACCTAATTGTGTAGATCTGCGTGTTCTTTACACTCTAGCTTGTTCATATAATGATCGACAGGTGACAGGTCGAGTTTTGCCTGGACCCAGGCACGATCCTAGAGTACCTATCTTGTGGTTCCTGATGGTTGAGAGATGACGGCGGATGGGCATGAGTAGTTTTCGTGGCATCGCTCGGACGTGTGCATGTTTCCTTCGGCGAGGACCATCGAGGAACATCCTTGATCATTTGGCGAAAAAACCACGCACGAAACCGAAAAAAAGACAGGGAATGGACGTCCGAGCGATGGGGAGCTTTGCAAACGGAAGCCTCCATTATGCCTCCCCCACGAACCCTCTCACCTCCACTTGCAGGGGCGATGAGGCGTGGTGTTCTAGATTTCTGTGCTTCGCAGGTGCCATCCTTGCGAGAGTGTGGCTGTGCACGCTGATGCACTGGGCGGGGGCAGGTGGGAAAGGCGGCAGAATGATGACATGGCCTCACGCCCTGCGGATTTCACTTGCCAGAGATCGGTGACTGCGCATACAGACGAGCGGCAAAACGCCCCGCGCCGCTTCGCAGGAGGAGGCACCCGGCATGCTACCCGCACACCCGCACGACCATTCATGTGCCAGCTTGCTGTCGAGAGCGTCTCGAGCCTCCGCGAGAGGGCGAACCTCTCCGCCCCGAGAGAGGGGGGGGGGGCATCGAAGTGCTTTTGCAGGACTCGCCCCGGGCGCGCGAGGGCCAACGAATACAGCAGCGGAGTCCCTCCTCCTCCTCCTCCTCCTCCTCCTCCTCCTCCTCCTCCGCTTCCTCCTCCTCCTCCGCTTCCTCCTCCTCCTCGTTCTCCTCCTCCTCCTGTTTTGTGCTGCACGGACGCTCGCGGGATGGCCGTTGGGCCTGCCCCCCCCCCGGGCCTGCACAGTTTGGCCCTCCGTCCAGTGCCGCGGCTCGGAGCTCTCCTCCTCGCTCGGGCCCTCTCTCCGCCCCGCCCCTCGCTCGTGAGGGCCCCCCCCCCCCCCGCAGAGGCCTCCCCGTGCGAGCCCGTGGGATCCGCCCGGGGCTCCCAGGCGTCCACGCCCGGAGGCGGCGTGGGCGTGTCGGCCGACTGCCGTCGCGGAGGCTCGTGCTCCTCCTGCGGCAGGCGCGCCGGGGTTGCGGAGGCTCGTGCTCCTCCTGTGGCAGGCGCGCTGGGGTTGCGGAGAGGCTCGTGCTCCTCCTGCGACCCTAGCAGGGGCTCCAGGAAGTCCGCAGGTGGTCGCGAGGCACTCGCCCAGCCTCTGAGCGCGGGACACGTCTCGGCCGACGGGTCGACCAACAAACACACGACGCCACCCCACCCACGGCCGTCCGTGGCGCGCTACGGCCCATTGGGCGCCGTAGCGTATGCCACGCAAAAGCCCACGCCAGATCTCCCGGTGTACGCTAAGCCCTTGTGGGGCCGCAGGTGGGATGGTGTCGACGTATATTCTGGTCCAGCTGTGGGTGCCCAGAGGCGGCCCAGAGGTTGTTTGGAGCCAGGTGGGCGCGATGGACGGTCCCCTCTGCAGTCAACGCGCTGTTCCTTCGGTCCTTCCGTGGCTGTTCCTCTAGCCCTCCTCTCGCCCTTTCCGTTCCTTACTTCAGCAGCCTGAAGTTGCCAGCTTCCCGAACAACTTCAGCAACGTGTAAGGTCAGCGACGTATCTGTGATTCGCCGATGTGGGCAATCCCGCCGCACTTCAGAACCTATCGTCGGGGCCTTTTTACAGACAAGGGGCCTCGCTCCCTTTCAGCGCGTGGGACATTCTAGACGCTTCGCGTAACCCCACCAGCCTTGGGCGTCGTACCCCCTGGGTTGCAGCACCCTTGCACCCGCCGCCCCGGCGCCGGCCGCGGCCCGCGCGCGCGTCCGGCCAATTAGTTTCGGCCGCAGCCCGACCGTTACTCGCCGCCGCTGGCGCTTCCGCCCGCGGCTGTAAAAATAAAAGAAACCCACCAGCCCATCCAGAAGCGATGCCCAGAGGAGTTGCCTTGATCCTGGATGTGGAGGAACATGCAGTGCACCATAGGGCTGGGTGAGACGTCATACCCCAATAAAGGGAGGATGGAGCAGAAATCGGAGGAGGAGGAGGAGGAGGATGAGGAGGGGGAGAGGGAGGAGGGAGGAGGGGGGAGGAGGAGAAGGAGGATGGGAAGAGGAGGAAGGAAGAGGAGGAGGAAGGAAGAGGAGGAGGAGGAAGAGGAGGAGGATGATGATGAGAAGGAGGAGGAGGAGGAGGAGGGCAAGCAGCAGAGGCCTCTTGGATGCTTGTCGGAGTCTCTTCGGATGTCTCTTGGCAGCTTCTTGTGTGCCTCTTGGGGCGTCGCGGGGGCCTCTTGGCGGTCCCGGGGGCCTCTTGAAGCGTCCCGGGTGCCTCGAGGGAGTCTCTTGGGGCCTTTGGGGAGCCTCTTGAGAGCCCCTTGGGGGCCCCTTGGAGGCCTCTTGGGGCCTCCTGGGCGCTTCTTGCGGCCCTCTCGGGGCACTCTTGGGGGAAACTCGGGGGCCATCTTGGGGTCATCTTTGGGTCATCTAGGAGGAGATCGAGCAAAAAAAGGGGGGCGTAATTTGGACCCCCCCCACCCCCCAGGATGCCAGGATGGGCCAAATCCTAAGATAAGTCAATGATTGTTGCCTTCTCGCCGAGGCCATCTTGGACCCCCATTCAGACCCAGGGGGGGGGGGGACCCCTCCCCGAAGGGGGAGGCGGGGTTGAAGAAGAAGAAGCGTCCTAAACCACCCACGCCCTGAAGAGCTGGTGGGATTTCAGATAGTGGCGCATCGTTCCCCTTGCACCCCCCCCCCTGGCCCTGGCCACCTCCGAGAACCACCACACCTCGGTCAGTGCATTCCTGTAGATTCAGCCGCCCTCGCAGACCTGGTGCCTTTCCGACGAGCCTCTCGGCACCTTCTCATTCCCCCGCGCCGACGTTTAGCGGAAAGCACGTTCGAGCTTCTCTTTGGCAGAGAAACGTTCCGGGACCGTGGGGCTCTTTTCCTGTGAAGGCCGATCGTGTTGTGTACCTGTTGGCTCTGGAGATGCGCCTACTGTGGAGCTGTGGCTGCTGAAGAGAGGACGACTGAACGTGCTCTGTCTCTTGTCCGCATTCGATATGTTGGAAATCCGCACGAGAGGGAGAGTGCGCGAGGATGGGGGCGCCAGATAGAATGCGGAGGAGTGAAGGGACCGGGGCGATGAGGAGGACTCCTCCTCCTCCTCCTCCTCCGGGTTCTCTTCCTCTCTCGTCCTCCTCCTTATCTTCCTCCGCCTTACTCATTGTGTTTCTCCTCCCCCTCCTCCTCCTCCTCCTCCTCCTCCTCCTCATCCTCCTCCTCCTCCTCCTCCATCCTCCTCCCCCTGCTCCTCCTCCTCCTCCTCCTCCCCCTCCTCCTCCCCCGTAGCCATTTTGGCTCAGGCCATTTTGGCTCAAGGTCCAAAGTTCCCCAGAGGACCAAGTGGATACCGCTAGTCCGCGGCGGGCAAGATCCTTGTGATCTGGCAGTGTCTTGCAGCTAACCGCGCTCGCGCGGTCGGGTAAACGGAGGCGTTTCCCGTTCCTGGCCGCCCGAACGCACAGCCCCTCCTCACATGGGAGTGCCGACCGAGGCGGACAAGCAACGTCTTGCAGATGAGCTGGAGGCGCCCCCCACGTTCCCCTCACAAGAGCGGGTGGCGGGCTCAGGCATGGGGGGCAAAGGCGGTGCGGGCAGTGCTGCTGGCTCTCGCTCTGCTGGCGGCCGCCCGCGCAGGGCTCCCCGACATTCACACGAGGACGAGTCGTCGGAGGGCCGCTCCACGTCTCGCAGCGGGCGTGGGCAGTCGCGGACCGCTGGCACCGTGGACCTGGATGATGACCTGGAGAGCTGGCGGCGACAGCATGCGCGCGTCGCCAGCGCAGAAGGGGTTCCTCATGACGCCTGGGCGGCCGCGGCTGCTCGCGCGGGCTTGCCCCGTGCTGGCGGAGAGAGTGCTCCTCGCCAGCACCCAGCGCAGGCCTCTTGCACCGGCCTCGCCAGCGACCTGGGCGCACCCCCGGCTCGGCCTGGAGCATCCGCGGCGGCTTCGAGTGCGGCTCGCGCTCACGTGGGTGCTCCATCATCGGTGGAGGCCAGCCTGCAAAGCATGGAGGCGCGCCTACAGGCCTCTCTGCAGGCGGCCGTGGCGTCTGCGAGCTCGAGCATGTCGAAGGCCTTCCAGACGGCGCTCGTCGAGATGGCCCAGCAGAACGACGGCCGCTTCCAGGCGATGGAGGACCGCATCGCTCCCATTGAGGAGAAGATGGTGCAGGTCGACCAAATGCAGAGAGAGATCCAGAAACTCAAGGAGGAGTTGGTGGTGCTCAACGCGGGCGTCCCTGCGGAGCTTTCAGGCGGCAGCTGGGACAGGGCGACGGACACCGCGGTCGTCACGGTCTTCGCCAAGACCGCGCTCTCCAAGCCTGCTGTGGAGCAAGCACTGGCCCCGCTGGTGGCTGAGGCACAGCTCAATGACCACGTGGTGCTGGAGGGCGACGCGGTCTCGCAGCGCTTCCTCCTCCGATGCAAGGGCGCGGCAGCTCTGGCGGCCCGTCGGGTCAACAAGTTGCTGCAGCTCATGCGCGTGGGGCAGGGCCAATGGCGGGAGATCCGTGCGGCGGCCCCGACGGGCGCGCAAGTCCTCCTCAATCTGGGGAAGGATCGGAACCGTCGTCAAGTCAGTCACGAGCTGGCCCTCAAAAGGATCAAGCAAGGGATCGAAGGTCTGCTCCCGCACAAGCTCTTCATGGAGAAGGACGCGGCGGCGCTGTCGCTGCAATGGACGCAACTGCTGCGGGTGCAGATCGAGTCCCCTTCGGCATGCCCCCAGGTGCTCTGGAACATGGCGTGCATCAGGAAGTTCAATCTCGACAAGGTCGCGCTGGCGGAGGCGGCGGAGCGTGTGCTGCAACCCGAGGCGCAGGAGTGGTGTCTTTAGCAGGATGGCTCGATGCTGGGGAGCGGCGGACGGGGTGGCCCAGTTCGCGTCGTGGAACACCAGGGCCTTCGCCAGCTACCAGCCGAGGCTCATCAAGAAGAAGTTGCGTTACCTGCAGACGCACTGGCGGGGGCCAGTCGTACTTGGGATGCAGGAGACGCACGCGGGTGAGGAGACCATGCAGCAGCTGCTTGGTCGTGCGGCCCGAGATGTTGTTTGCTTTGCTTCATCACCAATCGGAGCTCTTTCTGATGCGGGTGGGGTAGCCACTGTCTTCCCTGCGCAGACGAGTGGCGACCGCATCACATACATCCCGTTCGACGCTGTCCCTGGCCGTGCCCTCAAGGTGTCGGCCCTCAAGTCAGGCGCTGAGCTCCGCCACTGGAACGTGCACAACCACGGCTTCACAGCGGACGTGCGCACTCGTCTTCTTCAACATATTCATGCTGACCTCGCCTGGGCACGCGCCAACCCTGTGGCCCGCGCCGCGGTGGTGGTGGGCGACTTCAACTACGGCGACGTCCTGGGGCAGGAAGTGTTCAGCGCACAGCCCCCTGGGCAAGCGCCGTCTGGGCCGAGGGCGCATGCCCAGCGTGCCTGGGAGGAGGCGACGCGCTTGGCGGTGGACCTCGCTCCTGCCCGAGCGACGCACTGGCATCAAGGTCTGCGTCGTGCTTCCAGGATTGACAAAATCATGGTGAGCGTTCCCCGCTGGGCCCTCTGCCAGCTCTGGCAATCTGCCGCAGTGTGCGGAGAGCCGAGGGAGATGCACATCAATGAGGTGAGCGACCACGCGATGGTCATCGCGTCGGTCGCGCCGAGGGCGCTGCGGCCCCGCTCTCTGGGCCCCGCCCCCATCCCGAGGAGATTGGTCATGATGCCGCGCTACCGCGAGATCGTGGAGCTCTACTGTGCGGAGGTGAGCTGGGACAAGCTGGCCCCCCCCGACGCGTACGCAGCGTGCGTCGCGTCCCTCCAGGCGGCGGCCGAGCTCCTGCAGACCGAGCTGCTGGCGACGAACGGCGGCGCGAAGGGCCCCAGCGCCATGATCTGGAGGCAACTGGCCCGAGCGGTCTGGCGCCAGGACGCTGCGCTGGCGAGGGCGGTGGTGGCGCAGAACCCCTGGGCGTATGACGTGGTCGAACTGGGGCCGCTGGGCCAGCCGCATCAGGTGACGCTCAAGGGGCCCGCCGCGTTCGAGCGCCGCTACACGTTGGCCCAGCGTCGCGAGGCGGCTGCATGCAGGCGTGAGGCACAGGAGGAGGCGGAGGCGGAGTCGGCTGAGGAGATGCGCAAGCGCCTGATCGCGCAAGTTCGTGCTCTCCAGCGGCGTGCACAACTCTGGGCCCCTCGGGGGGCCAGGCAGCACCTGGCCGCGGTGGACCTCCCTCAGGGCGCGGTGACCACGCAAGAGGGCATGGCCGAGGCGCTGGCGGCGCACTGGAAGCCTGTCTTCGACCCGCCCAAGGACGCAGCCTCCGAGAGGAGGAAAGCGAGGATGCAGAAGCTGTACCTCGAGCGCTTCGCCACGCCGGCCCCCGAGTGGGACGCGCCCCCTCCGCCTGGCCCTGGGGCTCTGCGCCAGGCGGTGGCCCGCGCTAGGCCCGCGGCGCCTGGCCCTGACGGCCTCCCCGCTGCGGCGTGGGGAGCGGCGAAGCAGGGAGTAGAAATTCTCTATCGTGCGTCAGTCTGGCTACGCTCGGGATGCCCGGTGATGTCCGATTTCAACTGTGCCATTGGAGTGTTCATCCCGAAATCGCAGGCCCCGTCTGATGGTTCCCCCCGCTCGTGTCCTCCGAGTGCGACCCGCCCCTTTTGAAATCAACGGGGCCAAAAGCGATTTCGAGTGCCTTCAATTTTAGTTTTGCCCGTGGTATCAAACAGTCTGATTCGGCCTCTCAGAGAGGCTTTGTCCGCGGGGGAAACTTTTTGTCAAACATGGTCGAGCTCGATGCTTGGGCCCGCATCGCGAGCATGCGAGCGACCGACCCCGAGGGGTGCCCCCCTGAGTCATCGTCGCCCATGCTTCTTGCCTTCGATTATGGCCAGGCTTTCCTTCCCTGGATCATTCCTGGATGTGGAGGACTCTCGAGGCCTGGAGGGCTCCTGTGGGTTTTCTCGAGGCGCTGCATGGAACTTATGTGAATGCTACCACATTATGTGCGTGCTCTGCTCGGGTCCCACTGTATAATGCGCGTGGGGGAGTGATGCAAGGCGACCCTCCCTCTGGCAGCATGTTTGCTCTAGGAGTCGACCCCTTTGTTCGTGATCTAGACTCGGCCCTCTCGGGTGGCGAGTGCGTGGGCAAGTGGCTCGCCAGATGGTGCGCTGACGATTGTGGTGCTGTTACGTGGGGAGCCCCGGGCCGCAAAGCTCTGCGCCGCGTCTTCTCTGTCTCGGGCAAGATCGCTAATCTGCATCTTCGCCCCAGCAAATGCTTTTGCGTTCCTCTCTGGGCACCGTTCTCGCCAGCCATCAAGAATCAAGCCCAGCTGCTCCTGCAGGGAACCTCGAACGAGTGGCAGCAATTTCAGGTTGTGTCGGAATTAGACTACCTGGGATGTGTCCTAGGCCCTTCCGCCACGATGCACACGCAGTGGGCGCCAGCTGTGCAGAAGTACAGAGACCGCACGCGCGCGATTGCGAGCGCGGGTGCTGGCGCGGCGGCGTGTGGCGTCATGTACAGAGAGGGAGGTGTGAGCGTCCTTCAGTACAAGTCGCAACTCTTCGAACTTCCGAAAGCTGAGGTGGCGGATGAGCGACGCCACCTCACTCGGCTCTTCCGCGCGCCTGGCTCGTGGCTCCCTCTTCGCTGCTTCTTCGACCTCCACTCCTTCGGTGGACCCCCGCTCCCCCCGCTCCGTGCCGTCGCCCTCGCTGCCCGCGTGCGAACCGCCCTCGAGACGACAACGGTCTGGAGATCGCTCTGTCCGAGGCTTCGAGCTGAGGCGGAGGAACACCTCCCGCTGGTGCAATGGGTGGGGCGAGGGCACGGGCACACTCCGTGGCCGAGCTTCTGGATAGAGCCCCCGCTGGCCTGGAACCTCCGCAGCGCGGCGGAGGCTGCGGACGGGCTCGGCCCCCTCGCCGCCCCTGCCCGCGCGGGCCTCGCCCTCTTGCGGGATCGCCTGTCGGCACAGCAGGAGGCCCTGGCGGATGGCAGGCCTACCCTGTCCGTCAAGACTCAGAGGTGCCTCCAGGAGGGCATTGCTCCCATCCTTTACCCCTCTGCCTCTTCGCTCATCCCTCTCATTGCCCAGCGTCTCCAGCGATGGTTCCAGGTCGGGGAGGACGTCTGTCGTGGGGTGGACTGGGACGGGCTGGTGGGTCTTCTGCGTCGTTCCCCCCCGTCCTGGCTGCCATCAAGACGTGGACAGGGGGGTGGGTCACGGACACCCGCATGCGCAACCCCGACTTGTCTTGTCTTTTGGGATGCGAGTGCCCTGACTCTCTCGCTCACTATGTGCGTTGCCCTGGATTCCTCTTCCTCGTCCGTTCCGTGTCGGGGTCCGAGGTGGACCCGTCCCTCCCCCGACGATTGGTCATCCTTGATCCCTCTCTTTTGCGACTCCGACAGCTCGTGATTCTCTTTCACCTCCACCGCCTCCTTCACCAAGCAAGGAGGAGTAGAGGGAACTGGTGTCCGTCCGCCGATCAGGCGCGAGACTTTGCCAAAGCGGCACAGATGGCGACTGACACCCCCATGGGAGGGTGGCGCTCGATCGCCAGAAGCTTGAGGGTGCAGCAGGTGTAGGTGTGGCTGACGAACTCATTCCGACGCTGGGCCTCCCCCTCCTCCTCCCCCTCCTCCTCCTCCTCGGAAGTACAGCTGCTGTCTGCTTTCGTGGTGCTTCCCCGATGGTTCGCCGCAGAGCCCCCGCCTCGAGGTCCCCTGTCGCTCGGCGAGCCGCCATCGCTCCACGGGCGCCGGAGAGCCCGACCCTCGCCTGCAGCTCGGTCGTTCTGGCGGTGGCCTTCCAGCTTAGCTCGCCTGAAACCATGCCCAGGGCGTTTTTGTTTAGATAGCGTTTTCGGCTCGGCGTCTTGGGAAGCATGTCTTAAAGCGTTTTCAGGTTTCAACAACAAATGCAAACGCTAAAACAATTATGGCGGTGGCCTTCCAGCTTAGCTCGCCCGACACCATGCCCAGGGCGTTTCTTTTTATAGCGTTTTCAGCTCGGCAAACACAAACGCTAAAGCAAGTATGCGTTGCTTTAGCGCTTTCAGACGGTAGTTTAGCGATTTCAGCCTGACAACGCCAAAACAACGCCCAAACAACGGCCCTAACAACGCTTTCTTCATATTAAGAACGTAGCGTTGGTTTAGCGTCTTCAGCTTGTCAAGAGCCCAACACAGAAAAACACAAAAAAACACATTGCAGCTTAAGGCGAAGCAAGCCTTCCAGTATCTGGGCGCCTGCGGCACTGTCTATCACCGTGCCAGTGCAGACTTCTGGTGTTCCGATTCCTCGGGAGGCCCCGACCGTGTCGCGTGCTTTGTCGCACGACTGGGGCGGCCGTGGCGTGCAGCAGCTGTCCTCCTCAGGAACCCAAGCCGCGACATGTGACGCCTCTGTTCCCAGAAAGTTGTCCGCAGCATGTGAGCCGGAAGGGCGTGATATGTAGGAACCGAGGGAACGGAGGAGATGGGTGGGACATAGAACATTAGAGAGACGCAACAAACATATACACATATACATACATACATACATACATACATACATACATACATACATACATACATACACACATACACACATACATACACACATACATGCATGTATGCATGCATGCATGCATACATACATACATACATACAACCATGCATACATGCATACATACATACATACATACACACATACATACATACATGCATGCATGCATGCATGCATACATACATGCATGCATGCATGCATACATATATACATACATACATACATACATACATACATGCATACATACACACATACATACATACATACATCCATCCATCCATACATACATACATACACACATACATGGATGCATGCATGCATGCATGCATACACACATACATACCCACATGCATACATACACACATACATACATACATACGTACATACTCACTTCCTTACTTACTTGCCTACTTACTTACTTACTGACTGACGTACTTACTTACTTACTTACTTACTTACTTACGTACTTACTTACTTACTTACTTACTTCTTTACCCACAAACATATATACGTACATACATCTAAGACTGCAGTGGCGCTTCGCGCAATGCACGTTGGTCCTTGAAGTTTGGTTTGCAGGCGGAATGGCAGCAAGGTCAAGCCGACACGTTAGCGATAATTTGTGTTACCTTTTCGGGCATTGCCGTTATAATAATGTTGTTCGTTATCTTTCCTCCATACTTATGTTTCTTCATTCTCGCCATACCTTGCGCATTCTCCCCATCCGTCTCAGCCTTTTTTGCGGAGGTTCCTCCTTGGAGAGCCTCTCGGGGCCTCACAGACGTTTTTCCTCCTGGGCGTATTCTGGGCGTCTCTGGGGGCTTCCTCGGGCCACCCTGCCTCCAACCGTGGTCTCCCTGTATGACCAGGTGGGTCACGATTTGGAATGTTTCGGAGGGTGTCTTGGGGTCATCTTGGGCCGCCATGGGGCTCCTCGTAGGGCCATCCTGAACCCCTGTTGTGCCGTTTTTGGGGCTCTCTTGGATTGCCTTGTATGGAAACCCTTCCGGATGGTTGCAAGGCGATTTTGGAGCCTCCCCAGCGGTTTCGGACGCCCAGAAGACCGCCGTCTTGGAGCGTCGGGAAACCGAAAAGAGGATTGCAGTACCCTGGGTTGCAATACAATGCATTGTGCTGCATTGCATTGCGTAACATATAACCGCATTGCCGTGTACGCAAACACGTAACATAGCATAGCATACCGATACATCATACAACATGCGTGGTCTTACATCACATACCAAACCATATCATATTATGGTATATCATATCCCAACATTTACTTCATACAATGTCACACGTCATGTCGCAGCACAGCGTGGTAGTGATACCGCATAGCAGCGCGATGCAATGTGGCGTACGCTCGTTAATTATGATTGGTCATCAATGCACGAAGATTCAACATATCCCTTGTTATACTGTACGTGTCTCTCAGCGGAGCAGAGAACCAGCTTGGAGTCACGCCAGGCCTGTTGGTTGCCTGGGCCCTTCGTTCAGGTCTTCCCTCATCCGCGGACGCCCTGTGTGCACCGTACCGCGATGGCGTCTCCCGAGGAGCCTCCGAGCCTCGTTTCAGAGCCCTCAGGGCCGAACAACTATGCTGTCTCGGGTGCCATCGGACTCCCTGGGAGCAGGGAGCCTCGGGAGTTGGCTGGTGCACGCGACTGGGCGCGGCGAATGAAGTCCTCCTCCTCCTCCTCCTCCTCCTCCTCCTCCTCCTCCTCCTCCTCCCCCTCCTCTCCTCTCCCTCCTCCTCCTCCTCCTCCTCCCCCCCTCCTCCTCCTCCTCCTCCCTCCTCCTCCTCCTCCTCCTCCTCCTCCTCCTCCTCCTCCTCCTCCTCCTCCTTCTCTTTGGCATCACTCCACTCCACTGCTTCGCGCGGCAGGGCACGGTGGCAGATCTCAACGGGGACGGCGGTGGGCGCCATGGGGAGGACGTCGTCAGGTAATGGGACCGGCCTGTGGACCCGCACGCAGGTTGGAGGAGGATGAGGAAGCGGAGGAGGAGGCGGAGGAGGAGGAGGCGGAGGAGGCTGCGGAGGAGGAGGAGGAGGAGACGATCTGCTACCACACCACAAGGGTGTGGGTGGCGAGGGCACCGTCACAGAGAGGGGTGTCGCCAGGGAGGGAGGAGAGCGGTCTGTCCCCCGCAGGGGATGAGGGGGCCGCGTGCCCTGCTGGCCCTCTCGCGGGTCACCCGCATTCCACTCCGCCACCGATGTGTCGTCAGGCAGCTCGACCTGGACAGGATGAGACCAGAAGCGGTGCGGCGACGACGACGACGACGGCGACCAGAAGGGCGCTCCGCCGACCTGTCCCGCGCGCTCTCGCCCTCGGCTCTGCGCCGTCCGCTGCTCCGCCCCTCCCCCCTCGCCGCACACTCTTGCCCTCGCCTCCGGCCCGCTGCCCTCCCCCGCCGCCGTGCTTCTCCCTCCCACCCAGAGATCCAACGTACATTATCCCAGTGCGACCCTACCTAGGAGTTGGAGCATCTAGGAAAGCAACATCTACATGCTATGCTATGCTAGGGTACGCTTGGCTGCGCTGTGTTATGCTATGCTATGCTATGCTATGATATACGATGCTATGCTATGTTATGCTATGCTGCGCTATGCTATGCTATGTTATGCTATGCTATGCTAAGATGCGCGATACTATGTTATGCGATGATATGCTATGCTGCGCTATGATATGCTAGGTTATGCTATGATATGAGATGCTGCGCTATGATATGGTATGCTGTGCTGGATTGCGCTGTGTTATGTTATGATGTGATGCGCCATGCTAGGATGTGCTATGCTATGCTGCGCTATGCGATGCCATGCTATGCTATGCTGTGATGCGCTATGCTATGCTATGCTGCGCTATGCTAAGCTAAGCTATGATATGCTATGCTATGCTATGATATGCTGCGCTATGCTATGCTATACTATGCTATGCTATACTATGCTATGCTATGCTGCTCTATGCTATGCTGCACTATGATATACTATGCTATGATATGCTATGCTATGATATGCGATGCTGCGCTATGCTATGCTATGCTGGGTTATGATATGCTGTGCTGCGCTATGCTATGCTACGCTATGCTATGCTGTGCTCTGCTATGCTAAAGCTCAGCGAAGCTAAGAAGAAGGTAAGCTAATATACGATAAACCTGAGCTAAGATGAAGCTAAGCTAAGCTCAGCTAAGATGAACTAAGCTAAGCTAAGATGAGATAAGCAACGCTAAGCTAAGGGGACGTAACTGGGGGAACCGCGGGGCGGACCCTGGGGGAACCGCCCGGGGCGCTTTCCACTGCCCAGCCCTTTAAGCACAGAGGGTAAGAACCCTTCTAGGCAGAGCCTAGGTAGGGAATAAACCTGAGCTAAGATGAAGCTAAGCTAAGTTAAGATGAAATAAGCTAAGCCCAGATGAGATAAGCAACGCTAAGCTAAGGGGACGCAACTGGGGGAACCGCGGGGCGGATCCTGGGGGAACCGCCCGGGGCGATATTCACTTCCCGGCCCCTTTAAGCTACAGAGTAAGAACCCTTCTAGGCAGGGCCTAGGTAAGGAATTTGCAAATTTCATAAATTTGGTAAATGTTGCGCATTTGTTCGTGGGTTGTTCTTCGAAATTTCATCTTTTGCATCAGATAGAGTTTTTTTGTAAATTTCGGCCCCGAGGGCCCTCGCCGGGCCTCGGGGCCGTCCGAAAACGACTCAGGATGAAAATCCGGTCCGTCCTGGGGAACGGGTCGAGACTTCTGGGGACTCCGCGCTGAAAGCAGCACGACGTCGGATCTCTGGGCATCCTTCCCGGCAGTGCCGGTTCTGCATCCCCGGCGCCCCTGAGGGCGCCTTGTCCGCCCCCGCGGACCGTGGTGCCCTCCCCTTCCCGCCGTGGTCTCCTCCTCTTCCTCCTCCTCCTCCTCCTCCTCCTCCTCCTCCTCCTCCTCTCCTCCTCCTCCCTACTCCTCCCCTTCCTCCTCCTCCCTCCTCCTCCTCCTCCCTCCTCCTCCTCCTCTCTCCTCCTCCTCCTCCTCCTCCTCCACCTCCTCCTCCTCCTCCCCTCCTCTCCTCCTGCTCCTCCTCCTTCTCCTCCTCCTCCACCTCCACCTCCCTCCTCCCTCCTCCTCCTCCTCCTCCCTCCTCCTCCCTCCCCCTCCTCCTCCTCCTCCTCTTCTCCTCCTCCTCCTCCCTCCTCCTCCTCCTCCTCCTCCTCCTCCTCCTCCTCCTCCTCCTCCTCCTCCTCCCTCCTCCTCCTCCTCCTCCTCCTCCTCCTCCTCCTCCTCCTCCTCCTCCTCCTCCCTCCTCCTCCTCCTCCCTCCTCCTCCTCCTCCTCCTCCTCCTCCTCCTCCTCCTCCTCCCCTCCTCCTCCTCCTCCTCCTCCTCCTCCTCCTCCTCCTCTCCTCCTCCTCCTCCTCCTCCTCCTCCTCCTCCTCCTCCTCCTCCTCCTCCTCCCCTCCTCCTCCTCCTCCTCCTCTCCTCCTCCTCCCTCCTCCTCCCTCCTCCTCCTCCTCCTCCTCCCTAATCCCTCCTCCTCCTCCTCCTTCCTCCTCCCTAATCCTCCTCCTCCCTAATCCTCCTCCTCCTCCTCTCCTCCTCCTCCCTCCTCCTCCTCCTCCTCCTCCTCCTCCTCCTCCTCCCTAATCCTCCTCATCCTCCTCCTTCTCCTCCCTAATCCTCCTCCTCCCTAATCCTCCTCCTCCTCCTCCTCCTCCTCCTCCTCCTCCTCCTCCCTCCCGGCCTCCTCGCAGCGCTGGCTTGGCAGCCCCACGCCTGGGGGGAAGGGGGGCCGCCGAGCGCGTTCCACTGCTCGCAGAGTGCCTCCTCGCAGGCGTCCGCTCGACAAAATCTCCACCTCGACGTGATGGATCGCAGATCTCCCTCGGCGGATCGCAGGCCGCTTGCGAGTAGCTACTCTGCGAGCAGTGGAGCGCGCTTGCCGTGGTGGGGGCGCCTCGTGCGCCCCAGCAGTGCCATGGCCTCGGCCCACGACGGCCAGGCGCGCGCCGGCGAGGCCGCTGCCGCCGCCGCTACCGCTGCCGCTGCCGCTTCTTGCCGCCCGCAGCGCTGCTGGCACTGCTGCTGCCGCGCTGTGCGCTGCATCGGCAAGGGCGGCGGCGGCGACGACGACGACGACGACGACGACGATGGCGGCGACGACGACGACGACGACGGTGGCGGCGGCGACGACGACGACGACGACGGCGGCGGCGACGGCGGCGACGATGCCGGCGGCGACGACAACGACGACGATGACGACGGCGGCGGCCACGGCGACGACGACGGGGGCGTTGACGGCGGCGACGACGACGGTGGCGGCGGCGGCGACGACGACGGCGAGGATACGTTTTCCGAGGCCGCCGCGAGGAAGGAAAGGGAGAGGAGCGCACTGCTTGCGCTGCCGTTGCTGCCTGGGCTGCCTGTTGCCCTCTCGCTTCCACGAGCCGCGAGTGGTCACCCCGTCTTGGTGCGTCTGCGCCGCTCCCGAGTGGACCGCGGCCGAGCCCTCAAAGCCATGAGAGAGCCTCGCTTGCAGGACCAACGAGTGCCATGCCCAATCCTTAGCTGCTCAGATACGCCCGTGTTGAAACGTAACCCGTACCGTGTTCAACGCGTCTGTGTTAACCCTTTGCGTGTTGGCTCCAGGCGTTGGCCCACGTTTTGACGAACGTGTCGCGTCAGACCTACGTCTTCCGTCTACGTATTGAGCTCCGTATCAATACGCTACGTTCTGCGTGCTGCGCATCGGGGCAGCTAAGATCACTCATCGGGCCATCGTTGGGAGGGATCGCCACAGGAAGGCGGCGCTGAGCAGTCCACCCAGCGCCACGCTTGCCAGGCCCACGGAGGCCTTGCTTGCCCAACGAGAATGCCTCGCTTGCTGGGCCCGGCCATGAGCCTCGCTTGCCGGGCCCACGATTGCCATGCCCCATCGTTCATCGTCGGGCGGGGCCAGGACGAGGATAAATCCGTTCCAGAGCGTTCGGGAAAGCTCTCAGAGCGTTCCGGAACGCTCTGAGAAGGCCGCGGCGCCCGAGACATCCTCCAGATCCGCTGGACCTCAGAGACTCGATGTATCCGTACACGATTTTATCTTCGCCCTAGCTTCGGCTCATACCATCGTTGGGGGGGAGCGCCGCGGACAGGCGGCGCTGAGCAGTCCGCCCGGCGCCACCAGCTCGGCCGACACCGCCACCGCCGCAGCTGCGGCTCCGCCCCCGAGGGCGGCCGGGAGCACGGCGAGCTCGCGGGTGCGCCGCCGAGCAGCTCGGTTGCCCGCCTCGGCCGCTGGCAGAGTTGTCGGGGAAGCGTGGGACTCGTGTGCGCCAGAACATCCTGCCGCCCCTCGGCCGCGACACCGCGCTCCTCCGCCTCCGTCTGGTCCTCCTCCTCCTCCCCCTCCTCCTCCTCCTCCTCCTCCTCCTCCTCCTCCTCCTCCTCCTCCTCCTCCTCTCTTCCTCCTCCTCCTCCTCCTCCTCCTCCTCCTCCTCCTCCTTCGCCAGCTCCTCCCTCCGTAGCTGGCGATGTCCTCGGGCTTGACCCGATGAGGAGGCGAGAGCGTGGAGCTCAAACAAAAAACCTCCTCCTCCTCCTCCTCCTCCGCCTTCTCCTCCTCCTTCTCCTCCGCCTCCTCCTCCTCCTCATCCGCACCCTCCTCCTCCTGCTCCTCCTCCGCCCCTCCTCCGCCTCCTCCTCCGCCTCCTCCTCCTCCTCCGCCCCCTCTTCCTCCTCCTCCTTCTCCTCCTCCTCCTCCCCCTCCGCCTCCCTCCTCCTCCTCCTCCTCCTCCTCCTCCTCCTCCTCCTCCTCCTCCTCCGTTTCCTCCGGCTCCATTCCTCTTCCTTATGAAGAAATTCTCCCTGTTGGACCCCGAGGCCAGTTTTTAGGGGGGGCCAGGCGTTTCGCCTGAGACTTCCTCACCATGTATGACTCGGATGCTAAAAATTGACAACCGTTTCACAGATGGAGGGCGGGTCGTTTTCAACATGTGGTTCTCGCCTTAGCGCGGCGCACATTCGTTTTACAAATTTGTAAGGTTTTCACGGATTGAGGGCGGGTCGTTTTCAAAACGTGGTTCTCGCTTTAGCCCAGCGCACATTCGTTCTACACTTTTGCAAGAGTCTCACGGATTGTGGGCGTGTGGTTTTCAAATTGTTGTTATCGCCGTAGTGCCGCGCACATTCGCTTCACACATTTGCAAGAGTTTCACGGATTGAGGGCGAGTCGCTTTCAAAATGTGGCTCTCGCCTTAGCGCGGCGCACATTCGCTAAATTTTGCAAGAATTGTACGGATTGAGGGCGGGTCTTTTTCCAAGTGTGGCTCTCGCCTTAGCGCGGTGCACATTCGTATTATTCAACATTTGAAAGAGCTTCACGGATTAAGGGCGGTTCCTTTTCAACATGTGGTTCTCGCCTTAGCGCCGCGCACATTCGTTTACAACATGTTCAAGAGTTTCACGGATTCCCATCATCCCATCATCACCGTACCAGGAATTGCGTTTAGGAAGGATTCCGGATTCTGCGGATGCAACTGTTATTTTGGTTGTTCGTGTTGAGGTCCTAGGAGTGGCGTTCTGGCGCGGTTCACGATCGTCAAGACGCAACAGTCAGGTTGATCCGTGGCGTTGGAATCCCGAGAACAATGTTTTGGCATGTTTCAGGGTCTTCAAACGGGTGTCTTCCAACGAGGCAGTTCCAGCAGTGGAAATGAACCGTTGCAGGAGCCTATGAAGAGGGAGGTTGGAGGGAGGGTTTACTCCAACATCGTTGATGACTCTTGGGTTTACACTGGTCCTCCTCCTCCTCCTCCTCCTCCTCCTCCTCCTCCTCCTCCTCCTCCTCTGGCTCCTCCGCCCCCTCCTCCGCCCCCTCCTCCACCCCCTCCTCCTCCTCCCTCCTCCTCCTCCTCCGCCTCCTCCTCCTCCTCCGCCTCCGCCTCCTCCTCCTCCTCCTCCTCCTCCTCCTTCTCCGCCTCCTCCTCCTCCTCCTCCGCCTCCTCCTCCTCCTCCTGCAGTCGGGGAAACGTAAGACTCGTGTACGCCGGAACCCAGTGTTGCCGACGCTGTGTGACGAGCGCGTCCTGGATTTTGACGGTTCAGCTTTCGTGGGATGCCTGCAGCGGGGGCTCGCGTCAGATTTCAGAGTGGGTCTCGTCGTTTTCCTGGTGGCCCCGTCAGGCCAGCCCGAGTCCCCCGAACCCGAGTCCTATGTCCCCCAGAGAGCTGGGAGGCGAAGCTTCCAGATGGCCCCCATGAGGCCCCCAGGAGGCTCCTCAGAGGCCTCGGCATCGCTCGGACGTGAGCATTCTTCTCGGTGAGGCCAGCGCCAGAACATCTGAGCCACCTCGGAGCATCTCGGGGCGTCTTGAGAGGAGAAGCGCGCGCGAAGCGAAGCAGCGCGCGGAGAATGGACGTCCGAGCGACGGCAACGACCCCCCCCAAGCCCCAAGGTGGTCCCAGGAAGCCCCCAGGCAGCCACGAGGCGGCCTCCAGAGGCCTCTCTTGGATGGCTTTTTCCAGCGTGCGCGGGGCTTCGGGGGCCAGGGCCCAGGTCGACCAGGCGTAAAAGTGACCTTTCGCTGGAGTCACCCTTGGTGCGGGCCCAATGGGGTCCCCCGATCGACGAACGCGAAGCGGTAGCAGCGGCTTGCGCGCCCGGGTTTGGCCACCCCGCGTCCCCTGATAGGGCGGGCACCAACGGTCACTCTTGCCTAGGGTCCTTGCGTGTAGCCGACCAGGCTTCGGGAGCCCCTCCCGACTCTGGATCTGCCGTGCTTGGGCGATTTCGCAAGTAGGGCCGACATTCCCGCCCTGCTTCTCGAGCTGTTTGATGCCGATTTTCGCCCTGCTCTTTGCCGTCGCTGTTTCCGCCTGACTTTCGCGGAAGTCTCCGACCTACTTGGCGAACATTTCTGCTACTTTTTCGCTCGCGCCGCTTCGGTCGGACAATCAACCAAAGTACGGCGGAGCCGGATTCGGGGCCACGGGCGGCTTCTCCGCACTGCGAGGCTCAGTGGATCTGGCAGCATCTGGCGCCATGGGTCCGGGAGGCGAGGTCTGAGGCGTTATCGGACCGAAAATTTGCGGCGCTTGCCGAGAGTCTGAATGTGGCTTTACGCCAGTTGCCCTCTGGGGAATATTCTTGATGGTTGGATGGCCTCGGAACGCCTCAAGTCATCCTCGCTGGCCCGAAGATGATGCATCCTCACCGCCAGCTTTCTCACCGTAAGGGTTATTCCTCGCAGGGGGGCTACCACGTTTAGGCGCGGTTCGAGTTCTTGCGAGTCAGGTCAGCCTCGCATTCTTTTTCAATTTGTCGGCCGTGTCCGCCTCGTTGCCGCTGGTGCGGCTGTGTCATGCCCCGTGTGTGTACGGTCTGTTTTGTGCATGATGTGTGTTGGTTTTGACTCGTACTGTCTAACTCGGTGCATATGTGGCACTTGTCCAGCTGCCTCTGGCAATGCCGCCACCGTGCCAGTGCAGCATTCTGGGTGGCAGCCAGTCGAGAAGACAAAGGGGGCTTGCCGGGGGCGCTTCGAGCAGAAGACTCGACCTCCTGGTCTGTCTTCCCGCTCCGTGGCCCTCCGTGACCCTCCGGGGACCGGGGCGGGGGAGCACGCTCGCCGCCGGCCGCCCTGGCCTGGCCAGAGCCAGGGCGGCCGCGGCCCACTGCCACACGCCGCCCTTCCGCTCTCACGCCTCTCTCAGCCCTCGGCCTCGTGCGCCCACTCGCTCGGCTTGCCGCGCACCCTGCCCCGCCGCGCACGCCACCTCTGGTCGCCGCGCCACCTTTGTCTTCCCTTTTCTTCCCCCCACCGCCTACCCCGCCCCGCCCACCGTCTCCCTCACCCTGCGGCGCAGCCCACTTTGTCACGCCACTCCCTGCCGCCTCCAGTGGAGGGGGGGTGCAATGAAGGCTGGGGGGTCCCCCAGCCACTGGCCGCCGCCCCGGGATGGCGTGAATCTCCCCCCCCCCACCGGCGGGCACCCCCCGCAACGGCTTCTCGCCCCGCCTCAGGGCGCCCTCAGCCCGCCTTGGTGGGCTGCGGGTTCCCGGGGTGGGACAGGGAGCAGTCTCTAGGGTCTGGGGAGGCCCTCTGGATGGAGGGGAGAGGCCCCCACGCCATCCCGCTCACGGCGAGTGCGGCCGCGGCCCCAGGCACGCCTGCCATTGCAGCTCCGCTCACACTCCACCTGCCGCCACCTCCCGCGAACAACCCGCCGCCACTTGCCCCCCCCCCCCCCCTCTTTTCCTCCACAGCTTGGGCGCAGTGCCCTCGCAGTTTTGTCGTCTTTCCCCTCCGTTGCCCATCGTGGCTCCCCGTGCTAATGGAGGATGACGATTGATAAATGACCGGGGGTCGTGTTCACGCGGCGGCGCCCGGGATGACGATTAGAAAAAACCGGCCGCGGGCTGGAAAACTATTTTTAAATTGTTTTCTTCCAGTCAGAATTATGCAGAAATAGCAGAAAACTATTGTTTTAATCGTTCTCTCCCATTTTTTATTAATCGTCATCCCGCATTACTGAAGCATCTCCAGTGGTTCGATCAGCCGCCCCCCCAAGCGGCCACGTCCGCAAGGGGGCGGGGTGATGGGCAGCGTCAGCCCTCGAGCCTCGTGCCCGCAGTCCAGTGCAGAGTCCTGGGGCGGACGAGGTCTCGGAGGAGGAGGGGAATCTGAGCAGGAGCCCCTCTCGCGCGTCGGAGCCTGCTGCTCCTCGTCCTCGACGCCCCTGCTGCTCGTCGTCCTCGTCCTGCCCCTCCTGCTCTCGTCGTCTGCCCCTGCTGCTCCTCGTCCTCGTCTGCCCCCGCTGCTCCGAGTCCTCGTCCTCGACGCCCTCCCAAGGTGCGGCTGGTGGAGTGCGGGACGCTCACCGCCGACAGGAAGCCGCCGTCAGACGGCAGCCGGTGGCCTGGCGAGAGAACCAAAAGGTAGGGGAGAGGAGGAGGAGGAGGAGGAGGAGGAGGAGGAGGAGGAGGAGGAGGGAGGAAGGGAGGAGGAGGGGAACGGGAGGAGGATGAGGAGGAGGACGGGGAGAGGGATGATGAAAGATGACGATGATGATGATGACGATGGTGATGATGATGCTGATGATGATGTTGATGCTGATGCTGATGCTGATGCTGATGCTGATGCTGATGCTGATGCTGATGCTGATGGTGATGGTGATGGTGATGATGATGCTGATGATGATGCTGATGATGATGCTGCTGCTGATGATGGTGATGATGCTGAGGATGAGGATGGTGATGATGATGATGATGATGATGATGATGGTGATGATGATGGTGAGATGTGATGATGATGATATGATGATGATGATGATGATGATGAATGATGATGATGATGAGCATGATGATGATGATGATGATGATGATGATGATGATGATGATGATGATGATGATGATGATGATGATGATGATGATGATATGATGAAGATGGTGATTGTGATGGTGATGGTGATGGTGATGGTGATGATGATGATGATGATGATGATGATGATGATGATGATGATGATGATGATGATGATGATGGTGATGGTGATGGTGATGGTGATGGTGATGGTGATGGTGATGGTGATGGTGATGATGGTGGTGGTGGTGTTGGTGGTGATGATTATGAGGAGGAGGAGGAGGAGGAGGAGGAGGAGGAGGAGGAAGAGGAGGCGAATGAAGAGGAAGAGGAGGCCGTGCCTCGGGCAGGAATCGACGTCGGCTGCGACTGTGAGGCCTCTGGATGTCATGCTGCTGCTAACCGCTCTGCCTGCAGCCTGCTGCAGCCGCCTGGTGGGAAGCGAGCGCACGTGCAGCTGGACGTGCGAATGCCTGAGCGACGCGCGCACGGTGTATGGCACTTGCCTCCTCCTCCTCCTCCTCCTCGTCCTCTTCCTCCTCCTCCCTTTCCTCCCCCTCCTCCTCCTCCTCTTCCTCCTCCTCCTCGTCCTCTTCCTCCTCCGCCGCCTCCTCCTCCTCCTCCTCCTCCCCCTCCTCGTCCTCGTCCTCGTCCTCGTCCTCCTCCCCTCCTCCTCCTCCTCCCCTCCCCCCTCCCCTCCTCCTCCTCCTCCTCCTCCTCCTCCTCCTCCTCCTCCTCCTCCTCCTCCTCCTCCTCCTCCTCCTGAGTGGGCCCGGCTTCCTCTCTTCCCGTCGCGCCGAGGTCTCCTCCTCCCCTCACGTGCACGGCGGCCCAGTTTGCATCCAGCGCGCCCCACTGGTGCCCGTTTGCCGGAGCAGTACCGTCTGCCCAGCCGCCGACGCAAAGATGTATGGTGTATGGGGCGTGGGAGCGCGATGCGAGAACGACGTGACAGTGTGTGAACGAGGCGCGTGAGTCGCGCGAGTGACGATTTTCCAAGCTGGCATAGCCTGCAAGTGCGTGTTCTGAGAGTTTCCCCAAATGCTTTCCGGGCAGACTCCTCGTCAGATATCTGATGTGAAGTCGGAGTCATGCCCGATAGTTGATGTCTGCCTTGGCTGCGCGTGGCGGTAGGGATGCCAGGAGATGCCAGAGAGTGTTGGCAGACGGCTCGGTAGCTTGGGGCACATGGACACGTGACGCGGGCGTCGGTGAAGGGGCTGGCAGCGTCTTCCAGCGACACTGCTGGAAGACCCTGTGCCCTGGGTGACCAGCGAAAGAGGATGAAGAGGATGAGGAGGAAGAGGAGGAGGAGGAGGAGGAGGAGGAGGAGGAGGACGACGACGACGAGAACGATGACCGGCGCGGCCCCAGGGCAGCAAACACGCACCTGAACTGGGCGTGCACACCCTCAGGCGCGCCGGGCGCAGCAAGGGCGAGCGAATCGCAACCCAGCGCGGTTTTCTCTTCGATTCGGGCTCCCCACCACGCTGCTCGTCACTGAGCCCTCCACCTCCCTCCTTTGCCTCTTGCTCGCTCCTCTTCGTCGTCTTCCTCGTCCTCCTCCTCGTAGTCCTCGACCGCCTTCTCGTCCCCCTCCCCTTTTCTTTTTCTGTCCCTTCCACTCCTCAGTTCTCACTCCTTATTCCTCCTCTTCCCTCACCTCCTCCGCCATACCCATCACTCCTCAATCCTCCTCAATCCTCCTCCTCCTCCTCCTCCTCCTCCTCCTCCTCCTCCGCCTCCTCCTCCTCCTCCTCCTCCTCCTCCTCCCACATGCATCGACACCGACGGGATCGCAGGTCCTACTCAACTTGGGCAAGGATCGGAACCGTCGCCAGGTCAGTCATGAGCTGGCTCTCAAGAAAATCAAGCAAGGGATTGAAGGTCTATTCCCACACAAGCTCTTCGTGGAAAAGGACGCGGCGGCGTTGTCCATGCAGTGGACACAGCTGCTGCGAGTACAGATCGAGTCACCGTCGTCGTGCCCCCAGGTGCTCTGGAACAGGGCGTGCATCAGGAAGTTCAACCTCGACAAGGACGCGCTGGCGGAGGAGGCGGCTCGAGTGCTGCGACCCGAGGCGCAGGAGTGGTGCTGCCTTTAGCAGGATGGCACAGTGCTGGGGAGAGACGGGCGGAGTCGCCCAGTTCGCATCATGGAACACTAGGGCCTTCGCCAGCTACTTGCCGAGGCTCATCAAGGGGAAGTTGCGTTACTTGCAGACGCACTGGCGGGGGCCAGTCGTTCTGGGATTGCAGGAGACGCACGCGGGCCTGGAGACCATGCAGCAGTTGCTCGGTCGTACTGCCCGAGATTTTGTCTGCTTCGCATCCTCACCGATCGGGGCTCAATTTGATGCGGGCGGGGTGGCCACTGTCTTCCCTGCCCAGGTGAATGGAGACCGCATCACATACTCACAGTTTGACGCTGTCCCAGGCCGTGCCCTCAAGGTGACGGCCACCATGTCGGGCGCGGAGATCCGCCACTGGAACGTGCACAACCACGGCTTCACGGCGGACGTTCGCACTCGGCTTCTCCAACATATCCGTGCTGACCTTGTTTGGGCCCACGCCGCTCCCGCGGCGCGTGCAGTGGTGGTGGTGGGCGACTTCAACTTCGGCGACGTTCTGGAGCAGGAAGTATTCGGTGCACTGCCGCCTGGGCCCGCCCCGTCGGGGCCGAGGGCACAGGCCCAACGTGCGTGGGAGGAGGCGACGCGTATGACGGTGGATCTGGCTCCCGCCAGAGCGACACACTGGCACCAGGGCCTGCGCCGAGCCTCCAGGATTGACAAAGTCCTGGTGAGCGTCCCCCGCTGGGCCCTGTGCCAGCTTTGGCAGTCTGCATCGGTGTGCGGCGAGCCGAGGGAGCTCCACATCAACGAGGTGAGCGACCACGCGATGATCATCGCATCCATCGCGCCGAGAGCGCCGCGGCCTCGCTCGCGGGGCCCTGCCCCCATCTCGAGGCAGCTGGTCATGCTGCCAAGGTTCCGCGAGATCGTCGAGCTCTACTGCGCGGAGGTCTGCTGGGACAAGCTGGCCCCTCCCGACGCGTGCGCGGCGTACGTCACGTCCCTCCAGGCGGCGGCCAAGCTTCTGCAGAACGAGCTGCTGACCACCAACGGCGGAGCGAAGGGCCCCAACGCCATGATCTGGAGGCAGCTGGCCCGTGCGTTCTGGCGGCAGGACGCTGCGCTGGCAAGGATGGTGACGGCGCAGAACCCGTGGGCGAATGACATGATTGAGCTTGGGGCGCTGGGTCAGCCACATCGTGTGACGCTCAAGGACCCTGCTGAGTTCGAGCGCCGCTGCACGCTGGCCCAGCGGCGCGAGGCGGCTGCCAACAGCCGCGCGGCGCAGGCGGAGGCAGAGGAGGAGTCCGCTGAGGAGCTGCGCAAGCGCATGATCGCGCAAGTTCGTGCCCTCCGACGACGCGCTCAACTCTGGGCACCTCGGGGAGCAAGGCAACACCTTGCCGCGGTGGACCTCCCCCACGGCGCGGTGACCACGCAAGAGGGCGTGGCCGCGGCGCTGGCGGCGCACTGGAAGCCCGTCTTCGACCCGCCCAAGGACCCCGTCTCCGAGCGGAGGAAGGCACGGCTGCAGGAGCTGTACCTCGAGCGCTTCGCCACACCGGCTCCTGAGTGGGATGCGCTCCCGCCGCCTGGCCCTGAGGCCATGCGCATGGCTGTGGCGCGCGCCAGGCCCGCAGCACCTGGACCTGATGGCCTGCCTGCTGCAGCGTGGGGAGCAGCAAAGCAGGGTGCAGAAATTCTCTATCGCGTCTCTGTCTGGCTTCGCTCGGGATACCCGATGAGGTCCGATTTCAACTGTTCCATAGGAGTGTTTATCCCGAAATCGCAGGCCCCGTCGGATGGCTCCCCCTTCTCGTGCCCCCCGAGCGCCACTCGCCCCCTCTGACCCCTCTCTCTGAAATCAACGGGGCCTAAGGCGATTTCGAGCGCGTTCAATTTTAGTTTCGCCCGTGGTATCAAACAGACGGTCTCGGCCTCTCAGAGAGGCTTCGTCCGCGGGAGAAACTTTTCGGCTAACCTGGTCGAACTCGACGCATGGGCCCGCATCGCAAGCATGCGAGCCATCGACCCTGCAGGCTGCCCACAAGCTTCGTCGTCGCCCATGTTGCTCGCCTTCGATTATGGCCAAGCGTTTCCGCCTTTGGACCATGCCTGGATGTGGAGGACCCTTGAGGCCTGGAAGGCTCCTGCGGGGTTCCTCGAGGCGCTGCAGGGCACTTACGTGCAGGCCGCCACGTTCAGCGCATGCTCTGCTCGAGTCCCGCTTTATAATGTGAGAGGAGTCGACCCCTTTGTCCGTGATCTCGACTCTGCCCTCTCCCGCGGTGACAGTGAGGGAAAGGGGCTTGCCAGATGGTGCGCGGACGACTGCGGGGCTGTGACCTGGGGAGCCCCTGGCCGCAAAGAGCTTCGGCGCGTCTTCTCGGTCTCGGGCAAGATAGCTAATCTGCATCTTCGGCCCAGCAAATGCTTTTGCGTCCTCCTGTGGGCCCCGTTCTCGCCAGGCATCCAGAACCAAGCCCGGCAGTTTTTGCAGGAAACCTCGAGTGAGTGGCAGCAGTTCAAGGTCGTGTCTGAGCTAGACTACCTGGGATGTGTCCTTGGCCCCTCAACTACGATGCACGCACAGTGGGCGCATGTTGTGCAGAAATACAAAGACCGCGCGCGCGATCGCTGGCACAGGCGCGGACGCGGCTGCGTGTGGAGTCCTGTGCAGAGAGAGAGAGAGAGAGAGAGAGAGAGAGCCGTGAGTGTCTCACAGTACAAAGCGCAGCTTTTCGAACTCCCCAGCTCTGAGGTCGCAGACGAGCGACATTATCTCACCCGTCTCTTCCGTGCCCCTGGCTCATGGCTCCCCCTGCGCTGCTTCTTCGATCTCCAGTCTTTCGGCGGCCCCGCTCTCCCCCCTCTCCGTGCTGTCGCCCTCGCGGCCAGAATGCGAACGGCTCTCGAGACGACGACGGTCTGGCGATCGCTCTGCCCGGTGCTCCAAGCAGAGGCGGAGGAACACCTTCCGCTGGTCCAGTGGGTCGGACGGGGAGACGGGCACACGCCATGGCCGAGCTTCTGGATCGAGCCACCGCTGGCTTGGAACCTCCGCCGTGCGGCGGAGGCCTCCGCGGAGCTCGGCCCCCTCGCTCCCCCCGCCCGCGCAGGCCTCGCCCTCCTGCACGCCCGCCAGTCAGCTTGGCGTGAAGAAAATGCGGCAGGTAGGCCTGCCCCACCCATCAAGACTCAGAGGTGCCTCCAAGCGGGCATTGCTCCAGTCCTCTACTCTTCTGCCTCCTCGCTCATCCCCCTCATTGTACAGCGCCTCCAGAAGTGGTTCCAGGTCGGGGAGGACGTTTGTCGGGCGGTGTGCTGGGAGGGGGTGGTGGGTCTTCTAATGCGCTCCCCCCCGTCCTGGAGAATGGCCGCCATCAAGACTTGGACGGGGGGCTGGGTCACGGATACCCGCATGCGTAACCTTGACTTGTCCTGTCTGATGGGGTGCGCGTGCCCAGACTCCCTCTCCCACTACGTGCGGTGCCCTGGCTTCCTCTTCCTTGTCCGCTCCGCGTCGGGATCCGCGGTGGACCCGTCCCTGCCCCGCCGATTGGCCATCCTGGATCCCTCCTTCTTGCGGCTCCGTCAACTCGTCATTCTCTTTCACCTCCACCGCCTCCTCCACCAGGTGAGGAGGCGTCGTGGCGCCTGGTCTCCGTCCGCCGCTCAGGCGCGAGACTTCGCAAAAGCAGCACAGATTGCGACGGACACCCCCATGGGAGGGTGGCGGTCGGTCGCCAGAGCGTTGAATGCTAGCCAGGTGTAAGCGAGGCTGACGAACTCATTCCGACGCTGGGCCTCCTCCTCATCATCATCATCCCTCCTCCTCCTCCTCCTCCTCCTCCTCCTTCTCCTCCCCCTCCTCCTCCTCCTCCTCCTCCTCCTCTTCCTCCTCCTCCTCCTCCTCCTCCTCCTCCTCCTCCTCCTCCTCCTCCTCCTCCTCCTCCCCCTGATCCTCTACTCCTCGCCATTGTGTTTGTGTTCCTCTTCTTCCTGCTTCTCCTTATTCCCCACTCCCCAGAAGCGTTTGTCAGCATCCAGGGAGGCGAGGTACCGTTTGGGTCCGGATGGCGGGCTTTTCCATGGGACCACCCAGAGGAGTGCGCCAGCACCCAGGAAGGCGTGGTGAGGTTTAGCGCTGCAAAGTGGGCCGTTACCGCGGGACCCCAGAAGGGCCCAGGACGTGGCGACGGCTTTGCGTTTGACGTCGCCCAAGGGCGAGGTGTTGCAAAGGAGGAGGAGGAGGAGGAGGAGGAGGAGGAGGAGGAGGAGGAGGAGGAGGAGGAGGAGGAGGAGGAGGAGGAGGAGGAGAGGAGGAGGAGGGAGAGGTG